CTCCTGCAGTTTTGCTTCACAACATTTACCCCGTAAGAGCAGCTCCCATTGTGCAATGTCAAATGCACACGCTGCCCGACGCCGCAGCGCCTGCTTGGGAGCAGTGGCCTCTTGCAATGCTTCTGGCCGCTGAACCTATCAGCCCCCAGGATCGGGGCGGGGAGAGTAAGAAGCTGGTTTAAATTTCAAACTTCTTGTCCTCCCAGCCCCATACACTCCTTGCCCAAGCAGGGATTTAGTACAGCCCCTTAGACACATGTTTTGAATGTATTGTAATTTACCTTCTGAAGTGTAGGAACTAGTTCATTCTGAGACTGGCCTGGAATTACTACATGATTGGAGTATGGGGTTGGGTATGAAGCCAGAGACCAGCTGTCTCCCTTTGAAAAGACCTCTCAAAAGTCACACACGGTTGGAAAAAGTTATCCCTGAAATCATAAAGTTCATCATCTCAGCCTATTCATTACTGGAAGAAGACACTGTGATATTTTTCTCAACCCAAAATTAGTAAACTTGAAAGAGGTTAACATGAGATTTCCAATGCTTAGTCTTGGATAGTCAGAGCCTTGATTTCATTTATCTTCCTTTTTCCTGCTGCACAGGGGATTTTCTTTCAGAACCTCTGCTAAGACTTGTCTAACAGTTGGAAAGTTGCCCAAATAGCTATCCTGGAAAAACTATTTAACCCCCATTTGGACACGTTTGGAATAATTAATCCAGAATAAAAGCTCTTTTGATACATTTCCAAAAGAAGACAAGCCCTTAACACTTTTTTAACCCTGAAAAAAAATCAAACAGAATGTTGGGAATCATTAAGGAGTAGAGAATAAGACAGATAATTTCTTATTGCCTCTATACAAATCCATGGTATGCCCACATTTTGACTACTGTGTGCAGATGTGGTTGCCTCGTCTCAAAAAAGATATCAGCATTGTGAAAAGGTCAGAAAAGGACAACAAAAATGATGAGGATACGGAATGGCTGCCACCTGAGGAGAGATTAATAAGACTGGGACTTTTCAGTTAGGAAAAGAGACGAATAAGGGGAGATATGATAGGGGTCTATAAAATCTTACTGGTAAAGAGAAAGTGAATAAAGATGAATTATTTATTCCTTCCCAGAACACAAGAACTAGAGATCACCATGTGAAATTCATAGGTAGGAGGTTTAAAAACAAACAAAAGGAAATATTTCCACACAACAACATACTGTCAACCTGTGGAACTCCTTGCCAGAGGGAAGACCAAGACTATAATTGGGTGAAAAAGAAGAGCTGGATACATTTATGGAGGATAGGTCCATCAGTGGCTATTAGCCAGGATGGGCAGAGTTGGTATCCTAGCTAGTGTGTTTGTCAGAAGCCAGGAATGGGCAATGGGGATGGATCATTAGGGGTATGTCTACACTACAGAGAAGATGGACGCTTTTGCTTTCGATCTTCCAGGGTTTGAATTAGTGGGTCTAGCAAAGACATGCTAATTTGAACTGAGAGGGGCACTCTAGTCAATGCTGGTAGTCCTACTTCCACGAGGAATAAGGGAAGTTGAAGGGAGAGTGTTCTCCCTTCAACTTCCTGTAGTGTGGCCAGCACCAAAAGTCGAGTTAAGGTAATTTGACTTGAGCTACACAAATAACGTAGCTGAAGTTGTGTATCTTAATTCGACCTTATCCTATAGCGTAGACATACCCCTGATGATTACCTGTTCTGCTCATTCCCTCTGGGGCATGTGTCACTGGTCACTGTCAGAAGGCAGGATACTGGGCTAGATGGACTTTTGGCCTGACCCAGTATGGCCGTTCTTATGTTCTAACATTGCTGGGAGGATATATGACATTCCTATTTTCCACCTCTTCCTCCATCTCACTGCTTTGGGAAATATGCTGTGTTGAAATATTGTTTACTCGTTTATTTGTATTTGTAAAATTAAAAGACATTAAAATCTCTTGGACCCCTCTGTTTTTTCATCTCATACAAAAATCATACAAAACATTAAACTTGCTCAAATCTGTTGCAGAGCCAAGAATTGAACCTAACCCTCTTAAGTCATAGCCCAGAACTTTAGACATCATCTTTCCTCTCCAAGTTAAATAAAAAACAAACATACTCAGACCTTCCAATTACTTTTCTGAGAAGTGTTGGCACTTACAGCACACTCTGAAGGTCAATAGCTCAGGGATTAGCCAGATAATGCTTCCAACAATTAGCAAGTCTTTATTTTCAAGGCACTTAATAGTCTAGACCAACAATATGAGGAAGTTACTCACCTTGGTGCAGTAATGACGGTTCTTTGAGATGTGTGTCCCCCCGTGGATGCTCCATTGTATGTGTTGGGTCGTCCTGGCACCACAGATCAGAGTTTTCTTGAGCGGTGGTCAACCAGACCATGCACGTGTGGCATGCGCCTTGCGCCATTTGTGCTCTTTTGATCTCTCTTGTGGTCCGGCTCCCACCAGTCTGCCCCAGTATCTGGAAGATATTAAGGAAACGAATCCAAGACTGGGAGTAGAGCAGGTAGCGGAGCACCCACAGGGACACACATCTCGAAGAACCATCGTTACTGCACCAAGGTGAGTAACTTCCTCTTCTTCTTCAAGTGGTGTCCCTGTGGGTGTTCCACTGTAGGTGAATGTGCAGCAATACTCAGTGTAAGCGGTAGGTGGGCCTTGGATTTATGGTTTGACAGTGGTTGATAGTATTGTGGAGGCCACGATAATGTCTTTGGCTTGAGCCTGCAAGATTGCATAGTGCTTCATAAGTGTCATTGGTGGACCATGTAGCCACTCTACAGATGTCCTTGAGGGAAACCCTGTGAAGAAAGGCTGTAGAAGTCACCACTACCCTTGTTGAGTGTGCTCTAAGTGTTTGAGCTAGTGGTTTATTCCTTAAAATATAACATTGTGTAATGCAGGAGACTAGGAGTTTGGAGATGTGTTGTGACGATAGTAGATATCCCTTATTGCGGTCCACTGTAGAGATGAGCAAATGATCCAACTTGCAGAAAGATCGGGTCCTTTCTATATAGGATGCAAGAGCTCTGCATACATCCAACAAATAAGATATTGCATCCTTTGTCATGGAGTGTGGCTTAGGGTAGAATGGGTGGCTTAGGGACTACAATGGGTTTGTTTATGTGAAAGTCAGAACAAATCTTAGGAACAAAGGAAGAATGTAGACGTAATACGACATTGTCTCTATTAAAAGGAGTGTACAGTGGAGCCACCATCATGAAATGTTCATGTTCACACCAACATGAAAGCATGGAAGAAAAGGTCGCAACACTAGACAAAACTGCCTCAATGATTGGACTGAGCATTAACAAAGGAAAAACCAAGACAATGAGGATTAACTAGTCCAACAACACCACCATCACACTGGGAGGGGATGACCTGGAAGATGTGCAGCAGTTCATTTCCTTGGGGAGTATTATGGGCAGAGACGGAGGAACAGACACGGATATCAGTGCTAGGATAGGGAAAGCAACAGCTGCAGTCAAGACTCTTCCTCCCATATGGAGTTCACAAATAATATCTGTGAAGACGAAACTGCGAATCTTCAACCCAAATGTGAAGCGTGTGCTCTTGTATGGATGCGAGACCTGTCACACTAAAAAGTCTTCAAATCACAAGCTACAGACATTCATAAACAGATACCTGAGGTACATCCTTCCCATCAAATGGGAAGACTGTCACAAATGAGGAGCTTTGGAACAGAGCAGGACAAGAACCACTTGATGTTCAAATCAAAAGAAGAAAGTGGGGATGGCTAGGCCATACTCTCAGAAAACCATCATCCACCATAGGCCATCAAGCTCTTGCATGGAACCCACAAGGAAAACGCAAAAGAGGAAGACCTCAGACAACGTGAAGAAGATCTACTGAGATTGAAGGACAACAACTGGGGTACTCCTGGAGTCAGCTAGAAGTTGTGTCTCAAGACAGAGTGAAATGGAGCAGACTTGTAGAT